TAGTATTTGTTTTCAATATTTACTTTTATATATATCTCTTTTTTCAATTCAATTTAATTTAATAATAATAAAATGAAAACTTAATCAGGAAAAAGTTAAATTAAGTTTAGTAATTTATCGTCTGTATTTTTTTTTATGTATTTCACTTAGACATTTTTGTCTATTCGGGTTGTTTGTCGTGTTTGCCTCTTTTAAGCTTTGTTTTTGTTTTTTGCCTTTTCGATATTTTTCATGTTGGTATTTTTAGTATTTTCCATATCAAATGACAAAATTGATTTATGTAGTGCGAAAGAAAACAAAAGAAATTTCTAAATTTTCGCTAAGATTTCATTAGGTATCTTCATCAATCAATCAATCATAATAATTTCGTTTAGCATACAAAATATATATAATATAGTCAATGTGTGTGTGTGTATGTGTGTATGTGTGTACGTGTGTGCTTTCGTGTGTTTGTGTGTGTATTTCAATTATGACTACAACTCGCCATAGTTACATAACTCCCAAACATTTTACAATACTATTTATGATGCTCAAACATCCAAAAAGATTCTTCATAGAGGGAATGAGAGAAGCTCAAATCATAGTTAAATGATAAACAAAAGTTACATTCAGTTTGTTGATCTCGCTTAGATGTTGACCTTAAGTGGTTTTGGTTTTGTTAGTCTTAAAGCTAACCTGTAGCACCCGATTGCCCAGTGTATAGCCGTTTAGCGATTGTATGGCCACCACAGCCTCATCGTAGTTGGTCATGGTAACGAAGCCGAATCCCTTGCACTTGCTAGTCTGCAAGTCGCGTATGACCTTCACCGACTGCACGGCACCGAAGGGTCCAAACAGCTGCCACAGGACGTTCTCCTCGGTTTCGGGTGCCAGATTATAGACGAATATACACCAACCAGATCCGGTCATTGCATTGCCCGGCAATATTGAATTGGCCAATAGATCCCCAGCCAGCGGCGAGTATCTATCCATAGATGTCAAGAGCGAGGGCGTGTGATAGAGAGAGAGGGAGAGAGAAAGAGAATATATCAATTAGTTAGACTCGTGCATTTAGTGGGTCTTTTAAGGTATTCGAGACAAGTAATGGGTACTTGATTGTTCAGTTTATTGTTTATGGTACACATAGTATATGTCGTAACGAATGGTGTCGGCCCCTCCTCGAGCATAACACTTAGGAAAACTATATTCAACACTATGCTGGGTATATTTTATAGATTTCCAATTTTTGTTGAATTTTGGTTGTATTTTTCTTAATACTCTTGCCGCAGATTGAATCTATAATAATAATAACTATGCATATACCAATTGTATTGGAAGACTTCCTGCATTAAAGATATTACACAGATTGAATGTTTGATAAATTGTCTAAATAGACTGTTTATGTGGTTAATTGAGGGACTTATATACTAATTGAATGAATTGATGGACTGATTAATCAGGGGACTGACTACTTGAGTAACAGAATGATTAAAGCATTGATTAAGAGACTCACAGACTAACTGCATGATTGATTAACCAGCTGATGGAATAATTGACTAACTGATTGATTGAAGGAAAAACTATTAGGAACCAGAGTAATCCCTCTCTCTTGCTCTACAGTGCAATCTAAGCCTAACTGTCTGGCCAGAACTTTACCTTATAGAAAATAATAAGACACGTTTTACCCACTCAATCTATTTACTTCAATTTTTTCGTCATCGGCAATCTGACCGGCAAGAGTATTTCAAAATCGGCTAGCCGAACATTAGTGGATCGATCAACTTTATGTTTTGGTAATAATTTCATGTTTTCATGCTTTCATAGAGGTATTATTATTATTATTATTATTAGATATGCTAGCCACCATTACACTGTGCTGCAAAGTTATTCATTTTTATAGCATATTCGCTCGCAATGCTCTAGCCCAATTGATTTTTTTCAGTTTAAAGCACAACAATGTAATTGTCGCGAATTGAATTCAACATAAAAATACACTTATAAATTGATATATATGTGAAATAAGAGCAGAATTTCGATTTAAAGGTTGGAGTAAACGAATATGTTACAGAGTGTTCAAATCATATATGTATTTATATATATTAACATATTGTTGAAGGAATCAAATGGAAATTAAATAACTGGACGCATGCGCTCGAACAGAAACTCGAATCGAACTTTCAAAGAACACAAAAAGCTTCCATTTAAATGCAAATCTGGTTTAAAGAAGATAGAACAGAAATATAGATAAATATTTATATCTAAGGTTGTTGTTTGTATTTTTGGGGTATTTTGTTGAACATTTACACACAAACATTAAAGCTAAACATTTAGTATAGGAATTGTTTGAGTTTTTTTTTGTGTTTGTCTGTTCTTTTTTTTTTAAATTTTTGTATGTGTGGTAAATCAAATAAGTAAAAACACAGCAGTCGGGTGCATCCGACTGCATAATACTCGTTCGCAATGCATGCCCTAATATAATCTTAAATGAATGTTCATTCTAGCTCTAAAAGTATGGAAGATTTTTAGTAAGCTGATATATTTGATCATCATATATTATATATATATGATTGACAATGAAGAATTTGATATGCAGTTTATGATCTGCCGATATACAGAAGTTGATGCTTCTAAACCAATTCTAAAAATTCTATTATACTCAATTGTCATACTTCTACAGTTTCGCTGTTAAAAGTTACTTGGCTCTGTTAACTGTTGCTGTTAGTGTTAACAGGGACTGTTAAGATTTCTTTTTTGGCTGCACTCGATATTTGTTGGAATTGGTTTAGTATTTAATCTCGTTTGGAGAGTTGAGACGTGAGAATAGAATTTTGTTAGAGCAAGAGACTTCAACAGACTTCAATACAGCAACATAGAACTTAGGCACTTATTGAACGAGCATAAAATCAATATATATGTAATTGTGTGTATGTGGATGTCTCTCTGTGTTTGTGTGTGCGTGTGAAAAATGAATAAGTCGAAAAAATTCACCTTTGCAAACCCTTGTTAATCGCTAACATGGGACTTTTTCCAATGCTAAAAATGATGAGAATTTTTTTTTGGTTTTTTTTTTTTTTTTTATTAAAGAAAAAAGAAAACCGAAATATGCGACATAAGAGGTAGGTATAAAAATTCGAAACAGAAACATTATGTAAAAGTTATGTTCAATCCATAATAATAAGAAAAGAAAATAKATCGAATAATAATAGAATAATAAGAACTATATATGTATATATATGTATATAACCATTGCACAAATATTGCTCAATCAATCAAAAATCAAATAAGTATATATATAAAGATAATCTAAACCTAAATTAATTGATTTTCGCTTTAGTTTGAGCTGTGAGATGCGAGACAAACGGATAACTCGGACTAGCTAACTATCTTGCTATCTAGAGATATATATCTCTATAGGTATATATACATATATAAGTATGTATATATATGATAATGTATATATATATATGTATACATGGTATATGCCCCGACTTGACAATCTCAGTTAAATTCTGAATGGATGCTACGCACCTGATACGTCCGGCTGATGGTAGGGCACCGGCTAGGCGACGGGTTGCCGCTGCCGCTTGCGGTGTCAAGTAGGCGGTTAGGGGCGGGGCTATTTGGGCCTTGGCGCTATTGCTTGGATTGTTGGCGAACTTAACGGTAATCGGTTCGGCATAGCCCTTCGGGGTTTTACCGTTAAGCTCCTGTATGGCGCGTTCGGCTTCGTTGCGTTGATCGAAGCGTATAAAGCCGACACCCTTCGATAGACCTAGAGTTGGACAAACATCAATTGTTGATCGTCTATCGCTTTGATCGTTTATCGATCGATTCGTTCGTATAAATATTGCCAAATTACCAGAAATATTATCACAGAGTATACGAGATGTAATTATTTTGCCAAACGACGCAAACATCCCCTCCAAGTCTGGTTGTGATAGATTTTTGGGAAGACCCGATACATATAAATTAGCACCCTTTATTGATTCTGAACTTGGACGGGCGTATGATACTTTAATAACCTTATTCTGCAATCGCAGCCCATTCAGGGTGTTCACTGCTTTCTCAGCATCTTCGGCACGCACATAGTTAACAAATCCATAGCCCAAACTCTGGCCTAATACGAGAGAGAGAGAGAGAGAGAGAGAGAGAAATATGTATAGATATATGATATATAAAGAGGGCAAATAGGTGTGCTTACCTTGCTGCAGAGCCGGATTGAGTGCGGTCAATGATGCTGGCAAGACTGTAAATAATATGAATCGAAAATGTTTTTGCCATGTTATTTAGTTCGACTCAAAGAGGTTTCTCTGTGCAGGCGAATAACTCAACTTATAAAGACTACAAAGTAAGAAAACTTGAGCAGTTGCTTAACATTTGCCGTAACAGCTGTTAAGACAGCCATACCAATAGCTTAACGGCAGCTGAGAGAGAGAAACAATAACAAATATGGGATCTAGATACTAGAAGCATTAACCTAGGTTCCAAAATGAAATGAAACAAACTGAACGACTTAAAGCTAGTGCAGTAGAATTGTTAAAAAACTTGGTTAATATTTACCCAAATTACCTGAGACTTTATCACGCACCAGTTTGCAACTCTCCAACTCACCAATGCTTGAGAAGAGCGAACGCATCTCCTCTTGCGTCATGGTTTGTGGCAGATAGTTGACAATCAAATTGGTACGCGACTCATCATTGCTGCCGTCGACGGAGCCGTTGGTGCTGCCGTTTTTAACAATATCCATGGCGTTGGTCATGTTTTCGTTACTGTTGCTGTTGCTGTTGCCGTTAGTGTTAATGTTGATGTTGGTGCTAATGATGCTGCCTCTACTGCTGGTACTGTTAACCGTTAACAGTTGCTGTCTGTTAACTATTAACAGTTGTCTCTACAGTTAGTGGTTCGGTTCTCTGTTAACAGTCGGTATTGCTGTTAGCAGTTATTCGGCTCTGTTAACTGTTGCTGTTAGTGTTAACAGTGACTGTTAAAGTTTCCTTTGTGGCTGCACTCGGTATTCGTTTGGTTTGTGCTTAGAATTTAATCTCACTGCTTGTTTGGTTACACTTATAGAATATATGTACTTATTTCTTGGTATTTTTGTTCTTTCCTTCTTTTAGTATTATTTTTTAGAATTTTATTTATAAAGAGACAGCTCTGACTGCGCTTTGCACAAGTCCCGTGAAGTTGTTTGTCTGATCGCACAGTTCTTTTCTTTGACTCTTTCTGAAGTGTCTTTCCGTTTCCTTCTCCTTTTCCTCTTCTGTTTTGGGTTTTTAGATCAACTACGATCGCAAAAAAAATAGTATTTTATCTTAAGTTGTTTTTTGTTTTTATCTTAAACCGTTCTTTGGCTTTGCTTAAAGTTTAAAATTTAATTTAAGTTTGAAGTAATTTTTTGTGTTTTTCTTTTTTAGTTTATTTTTAGATAAAAGAGTAAATTTTGCTAATGTTTTTTTTTTTATTTTTTTCCTTTGCCTCTTGAGTATTTGTATTTTTTATATAAAATTGCAAAAATGCAAAAAGATAGCAATAATTTGTTTTGTTTTTTTTTTTTTATTATTAAATTTACTTTTACTAATTTGCGCTTCTTCCTTTTGGTATTTTTGTTTTTTGTATGGAACTTAGTTGTGTTTATACATATATAATATGGTATATGTATTTATAATAATGTTGTATATACGATTAAATATGATTATTCGTTATATTCTTCTTCTTTTTATTTTTCTTCTTGGTTTTTTTTTATTATTATTATGTTAATAGTTTGTTTTGTTGGTTTTGTTTGGTGGTGTTTGGTTTTTGCGCTTTGCTTCGGTTGCAGTTTAAAAAATCTTTCTTATCGAATCGCTTCCTTCTCCTGTTCCCAGAACGTGTCTGATAAATGATAATTAGCTGTTCGATTGCTCGCTCGTTTCGTACTCAATCTGCAAATGAAAGAAATCGTGAATTAGAGAAATGCAATAATGAAAAGGATAAGTTCAGCACAAAACGCCCTTGGCTAAGCACGTTGCACGGCCCACTGAAATCACCCCCCAAAAGCACAAAGCAAAAGCATTTAGCTAATGCTCATTGAGTTTGTATTTTCTTTTTTTTTCGGATACGTAGAGCCTACAGCAACCCTTTGCCCTAGCCTTTGTCAATTGCCAAAAGCCTTAAATCTCTTTATCAAGTTTCTTTCTGCTTATTGCTCTTATTTTTTTCACATTTGTTTTTTGTCAGCAAAAAAAAAAACTTTGCCTAATGGCTTGGAATTTAATTAAATTGTTTTTCTCTCTCTCTCTGTCTCACTCACTCTCTGTGTGTATGAGTGTCTCTGCGGCTTATGGTGACTCGCACCACAGCATGCAAGCACTCCAGCCATCGAGCACACGTGCACTTTAGCGCCAGCTTTTGTGTTCCTCCACAATGAACGAACTTGAAGAGCCAAAAGGCAGCTTCAAGCATGCCTGATTAGAACCCCATGCGAAGTTCAGTCAACAACTCGAAAAACTTGGAATACTTAGAATATGCTTCCAATATCATTATTAAAAAATAACATGTTTAAATATAGATCTAGTATCAAGCTGAAGGAAAATTGGTAAGGAAAAGCCGAAAACAATGATAAATTGAAATGGGAAATTTCAAGTTTTGACAAACTCAGCTTGGAGTCCAGACACATTGAGGATATCAGGAATCGGAACAGTCGTGAAGCTTTGTGGTAAAATAGGTTGTATAGGAAACATTTTGCAAACGAAATCATAAATCAAATCAACTTTGCCCTCATGGAAACTGACAAAGTATTACTCTGAAAGGTCTGCATTCGAGTCCAATTGGAATGGTGCGCCTCGCGCTGCTGGTCCAATTGGAAGCACATTGAGGGGTGGAAACCTAGACACAGGCACAGAGCGAGGCAAAGAGAGCAAGAGGGAGAGTGCGAGAGAGCAGGCGCATTAGATAGAGAGAGAAAGAGAACGCGCGCTAGGGCAGTGGCAGGAAAAAGGACTCCCTTTTCTGTGTAGATCCTTGCTGGGTTGCGTGTGAGGCTTAGAAATGTGCATAGAAAGGGACCGCATTGAAAATAGGGTAAAAACCTGACGCGAAAAACAAACAAACAAACGAAGCGGCACGTCGCGTACCCCGGACGACAGGACGCAGGACACAGGATACACAGGCCATAGGACACAGGACATAGGACAGAGGACATGGGACACAGGCGGTGTGCGGCTTAGAGTTCGTAGCGGGATTTTCGCCTGGCTGTGGCTAGGTCAATGAACTCGTCGCGTTGCGGCCAGTGTTTTTGGGCTGTTTCTCATAATCGTGTTGTTGTAGTTGTTGTTGGGCTTGTCTAGTTTCGCTCTGGAAGGCAGCAGATCGTTGAATTGCTGTTTTGTGGTTGCTATCCGCTGTTGCATGTGGCATGTGGCACGCGCTAGAAACAGCTGTTGCGTTCAATGAACTCAACGCCAAGGGCCTGAATAGGCCGACAGGACAACAGCAACAACAACAACAAGAAACTGATAGGGCTAACGCAAAAGACAGACAAAAATGCACACATACACCCACACTCACACACACACACGCACACTTGCACACACTTGAAGTGTTGGCACAATGAAGCAAAAGCAAAAAACCAAATCAAAGTCAAAGCCACGAAAACAGAAGACAAGCTCAAAACAAAGGAAATACACAAAGTGGCCAAAGGGACGCAGCAAAGAGGAAGCACACACATACACGCACACACACACACACGCACACATAGCTTAACTGTGCGCTGCAATATGGCTGCATAAAGCGAGCTGCATCTCAGCAGCCACCAAGCTCAGTCGCCAACTCCTTCAGCTGGCAACCCCCAACGGCCAGCGACCCTGCCAAAGACAACGACACTGCGTACGTGTCTCGCTCTGTGTGTGTGTGTGTGTGAATGAGCTGTGAATATGAAAAGAAAGAAGGAAGAAGGAAAAAATGTGTAATTGACACTTTTGCGCCGATATCTGTGACCTCATTTAAAATGTGTGTCGTTCAGCACCTTGAGGTGGGTCAGGGCATGTCTTCGCGAGGCCAAGGGTGCCAAGCAGGCAAGAGATGGCATTAGGGGGAGAAAGGAATGGAGATAGATGGAGAGACATGAGAGAGCATGAAGGAAGACATGGTAATGACAGCTGGACAAACGAGGAGAAGAGTTGGAGAAATAGATAAAGATTGAAATATTGATGAAGGAAGCTGTATGGACGGTGAGAGAGAAAGGTAGAGAAAGAGGGAGAGAGAGCAAAAAAGAGTGAGGGATCGAAATAGAAATGGTGATAAGGGTAACAGACAGAGAGACAGAGAGAGAGAGAGAGAGCGCGTGCCCAAGGGAGTGGGAATAAGAGAGAGAAAGAGAGAAGAGAGATTGGGAAAGAGAAAGGGAGAGATAGGGAAAGAGAAAGAGAAAAAGTAAGAGCGTAAGAGAGAGACAGGGTCCTCCTCTGAGACCAAGAACAGAGTAGAGTAAAAAGAGAGAAGGAAAGGGTAAAATAAAAAAAGTGTGGGATAGACAGAGATAGAAAGAAACAGGAAAAATACAAGAGGAGCAAGTGAGAGAGGAAAAAAGATATAAATAGAAAGGACAGAGAAGATGAGCAGTAGAGGTATAGTAGGAAAAAGTGAACATTTTAAAAGAGAGAGAGAGAGAGAGAGAGAGAGAGAAAATGGAAGAAAACCACAGTCAGAGACAGAAATAATTTTCTGTATTCCTTACAATAGTAGGGAGCGTCATTTCTCTCCGATAAGCAAACATGACAACTAGTGAAGTGATAGAAAGGGAGAGGGAGAAAGAGAAAGAGGGAGTGAGAAAAAGAGAGAGTAATTGACGCTCCTCAGATTAAAAATGACAATTCTTCGGCACAAGAATCGCAGCAATAATTGAACAGATGGAAAGAATACACGTAGAATTAGAAGTAAAGATAAAAGTTGAGATTAATTTAAGAAGAGGTAGAAAGAGAGAGAGGGGCGATTACAGTCAGAAAAAGAGACAAACTTCATAGTCAGTCTCTTTTCACTTAGCTATATCTTTCATTCTTTCTCTCTCCCTCTCTCTCTCTCTCTCTCTCTCTCTCTCTCTCTCTCTCTGCCTGCTCACTTCTCTCTCTCTCTCTCCCTCCCTCTCTCGCTCCTCATTTTCAGGAGTCTTCCTTTCACAATCTGATTATCAGTTTTGTCCACACGTTGACGATGATCGTATCATTCCATGCATTTCCAACACTGTCAACAGCAGTAGTATTATGATAAGCACATATGTATAATATGATCTCATATGATCATATCATATCAGTGATATACAATTTTTTATTTACACATGACAAAAAAATGTAGACGAAGCACATGAAAAAAAAGCACAGAAAAAAAAACAGTAGACATTAAGCACTGTTATAACTGTTATATACTTACAGATTTCTGCAATACGATAGAGTCAACACAGACACGTCGCAAAAAAAAATATAGATAGCAATATATATATATATACTTCGATGTATATATATATGAACGAAGAAGCAGCAAGAAAAAAATTTTCTTCTTTTTTTTTGGCTCTATTGATTGCAAAATGGTTGCTCGCGCTCGCTCACTCAAATGCTGCGTTGGCAACAGCTATCTCGCTCTGTCGCACGCTGCTGTTGTTGTTGTTGCTTGAGTTTTAGCTGTAGTTGTTGTTGTTGTTATTGGTATTGTTGCTGCGTTTGCTTTGCTTAGCTTGGCTTGGCTTTTGCACAGTGTAACAAAAAGCGAAAAAAAAATGGAACAAATTTGACTAGGAACACAATCGATGCGTTGTTGTTGTTGTTGTTGTTGCCGCTGCTGCTGTTGTTGTTGCTTTACAGTTAGCTCGGCTTTCGTCAATCGAGTTGAACGTATTGCAATTTATGTTTGCCCGACACGAGTGTTTAAAGCGAAACGTAACGAAACGATAGTAGCGATAGTTAGTATATATATA